ACGGACATTGCACAAAACCAATATACTAATTCACTTCGTGAATGAGTATAAAAACCAGTGTATCGTCATAATGCTTTGAATGAATAGATAGTACCTCTAGGCGATGCGCAGTCTTTGCGTTAACTGCGAGATAGCAGAGCACGTTCTTGCCTAGCCTCCTATGCTTCGCTTAATTCTATGGAGCTCTACCATTCCTGTAGCCGCAAAATAACTCATTAGTCTTGAAACTGCCTTCGACTCCATCTAGAAATGAGAAAGTAACCCAGCCTGATGGGGCCAACTACTTCATCTATGAAACGGCTCTACTCGCTTCACATGGCTCTGGAACCATACACATTCAGAAAGAATATGCGAAAGGCAAAAAAAAGTAACGCCATGTATACGATTAATCCATATTTCAATCCCCGGGTGTATGTGTCCATCGCCCTTTCCACCTGTTCCACCTTTTTTGCGTAATGCTTGGTCGAATTTAGTGGTACAGATTCATTTTTAATCCGCTCAACTGATTCTTTCTGCTTTCAATCTGTAGATGTCGCAAATCATCACTCATTAGAAGAAGCCGTCGTTCTTGTTTCATTCCTGCTTCTCATCAGAAATCTCGAATTGCTCGCGCTAAAACAATTTGGTGGCGATTGATGGTGACGGCCCAAGTCTTTATATGGGCCGATTATACTCTCTTGCGACTGCCGACTAGCGCGCTTTCCATTTCGACCTCGAATGAGTGGCCAAAATATATACATACATATGTATACTCAATAGTGTCTGTCTTGGCAAAGAGAGTAGGAGAGAGGTAAAAACGAAGAAGGTGAACAGGGAACAGCGACAAAAGAGGCAGAGAGTACATAAGTGAGCAAGACAGGAAGAGTTAAGGACAGCAAGAAAAATAAAGAGAAATGTGACACAAAGCACTGAACTAAAACTTTGGATGGGGGTCTTTATAGCAGGCTTCTATGGCTTCAATTCCCAATGGCCTTTATTATTTTTGATAAACGGATTACATTCAGTTGCCAGTCAACCTAAATACATCAGCCCATTATGTTAGGTGCATAATAAGAATACGAATAATATATTTGCATATGTACAAAATCGACTAGTTTCATTCAACTAAAATCAGGTAGGCAGATAAAGATCCTTTTTGCTTGTAACAATAATATTATATCTGTCGATTAATTTTTATTCTCTCCTTCCTCTCGATTCTATGCCCACTTTTCCCCAGCTCCGAGGCACACAGCTCATGTTCTATTTATTTAATTACAGTTCCCATTCTTAATGTCGCGTTGATCCGCCTTATTGTTGGGGTTATTCTTGCATGGCTGCTGTTGCTCTTGAAATAACAAATTTTTGTGGTTGCTTCCTGTTGTGTGCGTGCGCCCTGGGATTAGCTATCCCACTCCCACTCACAGTCCCACTCCCAGTCCCAATCCCACTCCTCGTTTTGCTTGTTATGTTTAAATACCGTTTAACAATTTCCCGTCGGCAAGTTTTGTGCATTTTTTCCTGTTGTTGGGTCAAAGAAAATGAACAAGAAAACTCACAGCCAACAACTACCCTTGTTCACAGAGCTGTCTTCTATGTATACATTTGTTGTTCTTCTATATGTACATACACACTGACGTATATGTATATGTTTGCGTTTAGCTTAAGCTCGTTATGAAAGGCAATTCCCTAGAGTTGGTGATTTTCAAACAATTTGCGCGCATTACGGCTACTTAGTATATGAGCATCACTATAGATAGATACAGATATATACATATGTATGTATATGCCCATGTATTTATGTCTGTATTTTTATAAATATGGACAAATCTGAAATACACAACTGTATAATTAAGAAGTCGGAGGAAACTGAGTCGATATAGCCCTGTCGGTCGGTCCGTCCGTCCATCCGTATGAGTACGTCGATCTCAGAATATACACTAGCTAGAGATCTGAAATTTTGAATGAATACCATACGCAGTACAAGTTTGTCTTATTTTTTCGATAAGGCATTTGATAAATCTTTTTCATCGAAAATAATCGAAAAATTGATTTTGGGTTTTCAGCCTCATTTGAATAGTATTAGACCTGGAGACTTCAGATTTACTGCCAATATACATATGATGAATACGAAAAATTTTATATTTACAAATTTTGGATACCACATCCACTTCGCCCCCAATTTATAAAACAAATATTTCAAATACTAGAGTCTTTTGCTTCAGAATGATCACACATTTTTACCATATGACTACGCCCTGAAAGTTTCATTAAGAATGTAAGTCTACAAAAGAAGTTATTCAACAAATAATTTACCATCATATTTTCCACACTGCAGCGCAGCGTACTGCTCAGTTAGCAGAGCGCGGGCTCATGCATGCGTTTGTATGCAGGTGTATGTATGTGTGCATAAAAGAAGTGCAGAATGGTATCAGCTTGGAGGCTTCAGGGTATCTCGAGCAGTCTCGACTAGAACCTTCTTACTTGTTATACCCTAAAGCCATCAGGGTATAATGGTTTTGTTGAAATGTATGTAACAGGCAGAAGGCGGCGTGGC